AGAAAATAAATGTTTCCATGAAATAAATGTTAACTAAAAAGTAAAGGAGAAAATGGAAAAACAATTAACAACCTCACCAAACAGGACGTTTACTTTATCCCCTCCCAGAAAAAAAAAAATTTGTTTTCCATGAAATAAATGTTAACTAAAATAAAAGGAGAAAAGGAAAAAATAAATTAACAACCTCACTAAATTCTATTTTCTTGTTTTTAAAATAATTATTAAATACACTATCTTTATTTTTAATACTTTTAATTTAATTTTTTGATTTTTTAAATATAAATTTTAAATAAAAATTTAATAATTTATATGATTAATGATTGAAAAGATTTTTTCTCTTATATGAAATTTTTGTCTAAGTATTTTTATTCAATTAAAAAAATTTTAATTATTATTTATATAATATATTAAATTTTTTATGTAAAATTCATATTTAAAAAATCATAAAGTTAAACTAAAATTAATAAAAATAAATGAAGAAAGTACTAATATGATTTTTATAATAATAAAATATATAAAAAAAAAATCGTATGCACATCACGATACAACAATCTTAAACAAAATTACACAAATGAATGGAGGAAAAAATTAAAAATCAATCCTAACTCAAATGGGAGAAGCTAATTTCAGTTTACACCTTCAAAAATGAGTTTGTGCTGCATTCATTGCCCTATCTAACCATTTAAGCTTACTAGCTACTTTGCCTCATGTTCGTTTTTTTGTTTTTATTCACATTCAAATTGAGACAGAATATTCAAATTTACTCTCAAAGTTAAGCAATAAAATAATTCCATTTTCAAATAAAAAAATAACAAATTCATTTACAAAGTTTCTTATTTAGATATATCATCCAAAATTTAATGTATGAAGTTATCAAATATTTGTAATCCATTAATTTGTTAATTTACTAATAAGTTAATTATTAATTGTTGACGTTAGATGATGTTATATATTAAATTTTAGATAATTTATTCAAGTAAAAAATTTTAAGAAAATAATTTAAAAATAAATTTTTTGTATCACTTTTTTGTATAATTTTATATGTCATTTGAATAATTAGTTTTTTTTATTCATTTGAAACTCATAATATTAAATACATCTACTCATTTAATAACATATGAAAATTATATTAAAAAGAGATAAAAAAAAATTATCTTTATATCACCACCTATAATTTTATGGGTGACTTTTATCTTTTTTTTTTTTCTTTGTTCAAAATGAATTCGTTCATGCTACTTAATTTTAAGAGTGGAGTTGAGTATTCTACCTTAAAAACAATGAGTAAATCATTGTCTGATGCATTTTGACTTTTTTCTTTTTCCAGGGGAATGGCAAGCTTTTTCATTCCACTAATGGCGGTGTATTCCATTCACTAAGTTGGGCATCCCCAAGTTTACACAATCCAATTGATAACATCTTGGGGAGGGAATGACATCATTCTGGAATATCCTTATGTTCTTCTCCCTCCAAACGCAGCAAATGCACGCTGGAACCTTTTGCTTTTGACGCTTCTACCTCTAGATTTATCCATCTCCAGCATCTACCCCAGAGCAGTGCCGCGGGTTGCGTTTGAGTGACGTGAACAACTGATTCCCACACCACCTAGAGTAAACACAGGCAAAAGAGATGTCACTCCTATTTTAGGGTGTGATTCTTGCCATCAAATTTTCAATTTTTTTTTCCTAATATAGTACATCAAACACTTATTTGTGCGACATCATTTTATAATGTGGCATATGAGCAGTTTTCTTGATTTTAAATAATTAATATTAATTATTTTATTAATGATTAATTATTAATAATTTTTATCAATTAAATTTTTTTTTGGAATAAATTATAAAGGAGCGGGTTTGAAACCTGCTCATAAGGGAAGGAAAATGCACTTCAAATTGACAGGTTGTCAGTTGGTTCGAAAGATCAAGTGCTTTTATCAATTAAATTAAATAAAATAAATATTAAAAATAATATTTTAACTTCAGGCGAAATAGATATACATGACTCCTAACTTCAGGATATAGCATCTACGTAGAACAAACAGGGGTCCAATAGCATTTTGAGTTGTATATGCCTAAATACAAATTAGTACAGCAAGTCACAACCCTTAAGGGTGTTCTAATTTATCTTAGGAGTTTAAAACTGTGAATGGTAGATTTGAAATTCTAGTTCAAGTGAAGAAGAATTTTTTTTTTCTTTTTAAAGAAAATATTGTTTGTTGTACAGCTCACCCATCAAATTAGCAAACAAACATGTTAAAGGGAAGGAGGTGTTAAATGAATAATGGAATTGTGAACTTTTTCGTTTTGAGTTTGAATAATAATAAAACGGAAATTTGAGACTAATAAAATAACATGAAACACATTATTTAAAATATTAAAATATAAATTTTAAATTTTTAAAAGATTTTTTATAATTTATGCATTTATGATATAAGTTAAAAATGTAATTGTTACACTCTTTTTATATTAATTAGTATTAAAAAATATAAAAATTATCATTAATTTCATCACTAATGTTACGTAAATTATTTTAATAGGACAATTATTTAAGTAAATATTAATTTTTATTTTTTCAATACTAATTAATATCAAAATGTACACTAGTTGCACTTTAACCCACCCTTATTCTATGGGCACAAATTAAGAAAACTTATTATTTAATAATTATCATTTTTCAACTTGTAATATTATATGTATTAATTCATTTAATAATATAATTTATGCTATATCATTGATGCCAAATTTTAATCCAAATTTTGGTTTTCTATATCATTAGTTTTCAAATTTAACTTTGAAATCTCTAAAGCAAAGCACATGGGGTAGTTTGCAACTTTTTGAAAAGGAGATAACTGATAAAGTCCACATATCCCATACCAGAAGGGAGTAAAATGCAATTTTCACTTTACTTTTAGGTTGTGTTTGGTAACTTGAATTTGAATTTGATGAGTGTAATTAAAATACATGTATTTTAAAATACATTGTTTGTATTGAATTAAAAAAATAAATTTCAAATACATACATTCTTAAATACATTGTTTGGATATCTTAAAATACTATGTATTTAAATTTGAATTTTTTTCATTAAATTAAATCCTTTTCTAATTATTATTTAAATTTAATAAAATCAAAGTTAACAATTTTAATTTTTCAAAATATTATTTAAATTACCTCAAGATAAACAAATTGGATGAAAAGAAGCAACAATGACCTCTACTGATCAATTTGTCATCATATTCTCCATTTTCTGTTCATTTTTTTTATTGTCATCTAATATTCAATTTTTATAAAGATGGATTTATCATAAAAAAATTTCAATATGAAAAATAAAAAAAAAACAAAATAGTATCTAAAATGATTATCAACTATACCCATTAACAAAATAATTGAGGTAACACTTCTTAATTGCAAAACAAAATAGAAATATAACATTTTTCATTGAAGATTTCTAACAATTATATTTATTAACAAGTAATTGAAGTAACACTCATTAATTACAAAATGAAATATAAATATAACATTCTTTGTTGAAGGTTTCCAAGTAAACCATTGAGATGAGTTTGAAAGTTAAGATAGAATTAATCTTATAAAATTATAACTTTATTTTTAAAAAAATGATATGGATACAAATTAATATAATTAATATACAAAAATTATAAAAAAATTATAAAAAAACTTATCC